GACTTAGGTAGATGAGGCTGAACTGCCACATAATTTGCTCTTTTCCTCCAGCAGTTTTTCTCTCTCCCCCTGCCCCATCCTGTCTCTGTGTCTCTTCAGCTAGTGAGTTGAGATTAATGTAAAAGAACATGGTTTCTGCTTGATTTTCTTTGTTACTTCTTTTCATTACAGTTTGCTTCATCTTCTGTGGAACAGGGATGTCATAGTGTCTGAATTTCATAGTGTTGCTGCAAGAATTAAGATAAAGTATACTCTATTCTTAGTAGGGTGCCTAGCACATAACTGCTTGCAAAATAAGCTATTGTGATGGCAGCAAATGACTGTAATCAGGTAGATAATTAAGAAAAATGAATACTCAATTTTAAGAGTTTATATCATTGGAAAAATCTTGTCTTGAGTTCTGTTTCATTAATCTCTCCACATCTCCACATTTTAATCAGCCCCTTAATTATGGGACACTCCAATAGAGCAAGTGAAGGACTTAAATTTTTTTTAAGTTTTCCAGAATTCTAACTGACTTGGCCAAAGATTTTAAAGTTAAAATATTAAATATTAAGATTTAGGCTTCTTCTATACACTTGGTAGCTATGGTTACTTGGTTAAGTTTTCAGTGTCTTTTAATCCTCCTACTGATGAGTTTCATTGATGTGTTTTTTTATGGGTTATGTACTAATTTAGTAAATGTGTATGTTTTCAGCTTTTTTAATCCAAGTCATGCCATGAAACGCAAAAGACATTGGAAATCATATATTTAAAATGATTCCAAGACTTCTGAAAAACTTGAGCTTCGTTCTATACTAAAAGCTCATGAGATAGCCATTCAAGAATTGCTGTGATAAAATTTCTACTTAGAAAACATATCCAGGAATTTCCAAAATGAGGTTGAAGGAATCCATTGCCAACAATTAATCTGTAAGATGTTTTTCAGTGACTGCATCTTTTTCAGTGTTTTGGACCACAGATTTAATTTTCATAGCATTATTCTGTTTAAAAGGGTGATAGTAGCAAATATTTCAAAAAATTCATCAAGAAAATTTTAAACATTATGCTTTATGGCCTTCAATTACTTTATACCTTTTCAGAGGGTGTTTGTTCACCTTATTCTTGTAGATGGGAGTTGGGAACTTGTTTTGCATGGTCAGTTTTTCTTTTGCATGAGGACAATTGTAGTGTTCTGGGAGTTTTTTCACATGTAGGTTACTTTGATGGTGGCCTAGCGAAGAACGTCTGAGCTTAAGAATAATTGAAGGAAGGACTGTTAAACTCATTTTATTTCTGAAGAAAACTCATTTTATTTCTGAAGAATGTCTTTACTGGATTTCTACCACATATTATCTCATGGATAGAAGGGGGTGAGTGGGAGTTGGGAAGGACATTTAAATATGACTACTGAATTCACTGACACCACCAATTTCCAGCAAAGTTTTATAAGGTCAGAGTCTTATGCTCTATCTGTATAAAAGTACTAGGAGCCAGTGAAATGGAATTAATATCTAGTTACAAAATAAATTCTAAATTTGAAAGTAAATATGGGTAACTTCTGTGGGATTTCAGAAAAGTATGTTAGCAAGCCAATGAACTTTCAGAGAGCAGTTGCTGAGACTGAGCCTTCTTTTGGTTCTCCTTCTGACATGCTTTCTTCCTCCTCTTTTCCTGTAACAGTTGAAAATATTTATTGAGACCTGTTGAATGTCAGGTACTAAAGATGGTGAACAGAATAGAATTAATATCTGCCTCAGATAACTTTAGTTGAACAAAGAATACTGATAAGTAACTAGATCTTTATAAGAGATGACATGTGATAAAACTTACATAATAGGGAAATATTTTAAGAGGTAATATTACTCCAGGCTCTATAGAGAGATCAAGGAATACTTTGAATAATTCCCAGAGGAGGCAGTGTTAACTCAAAATTAAAGGATGGGTAGGAACTAATAGAAGCGTGGGTTTCTGAAGCAGAGGGACTAGCAAGAGGAAAGGCCCCTAGAGTTCAGAGAAGCAGACTAGAGAACCAGAAGGAGTCGTATATGGCTGGGCAGAGTGGATATGAATGTAGCCAGAGGAGGGAAGAACAGGGAGGTAAGGTAGATGACACTTGTGGCCTGATTAAGGAGTTTGGACTCTGTCCTTATATAATGTGTATATAAACTATTCAGACCTTCTAAGCAGTGATTTGTGGTGGTCAGGTTTACTTCGAGAATGACATGGTATGCAGAATGGATTTGGAGACGAGCAAGATATGGGGCAAGGAGACCAATTAGGAGGACTAATCCGGAAGATGGATATTGGTGATTTCCTACTAGAGATTTAGAAAGAAGTCTCGCGTACCTAGCTTTTCGTGTCTCTGTATTTATTTTCTCCTTTTCACTGCCCTTTTTTCTTCCCTCATTTACCTGTGTTCTGTACTGTCACTTGCTTCCAGTTGTCAATATGTTGATTTGTTTATTCCTTGCTCACATAATGTATATTAACCTGCTAATATGACTTTAAAGAGTAACTTTATTGAAATATAATTCATATATAATAAAAGGTAGATATTTTAAGGTACAGATCAATGAATGTTTACAAATACATATCCTTGTGTTACCACTACCACACAATCAAGATATAGAAACTTTTCGTCACTCCTGAAGGTTTCTTTGTGCCCCTTGCTAGTCAGCCCCCAACCGTGGCCTTGGTGACTGATCTGTTTTTTTTTAATCACCATAGATTGTATTTTCTTTTCTAGAGTTTTATGCAAGTGGTTTCATACACTGTGTACTCTTTTGTGTCTTTTTTCTTCCATTATGTTTGTGATTTGTTATCAATTCACTTGTTCATCTGTCCATTGACTTTTCAGATGTTTTTCTTCTTAAGTAAGTTTGTTTTCTTTCTCAACTGGAACATGGTATTAAAGCATTTATTCTTTTTCTTTCTTTTTTTTTTTTGTATTAAAATGTGATGCGCATCTGTAATCCCAGCTATTCGGGAGGCTGAGAGGCAGGAGGATCTCTTGAGTTCAGGAGTTTGAGTCCAGCCTGGGTAACATAGAAAGACTCTGTCTCAAAAAAAAAAAAAAAAAAAAGTGATTAAAATAAAAAAGGTTTTTATTTGAGCCCAGGATTCAAGGTTATAGTGAGCTATGATCTTCACACCGTACTCCAGCCTGGGTTACAGAGCAAGACCCTGTCTGAAATTTTTTGTTGTTGTTGTTAAATTACTGATATTTATTGAATAGAATTTTATATTCCTGCTACTGAGTTTTAAAAGTGGCCACATCAGTTTATCATCTTCTCAAATGGAGGACAAGCACTTTTATAATGAATTATCTTACTGCTTTCTAAGGATTAGTAGCTTTTGACATACTCAATGCCTGTATTGTCTTTTTATATTTTTGTTCTGCTTTTCATGAGCTTAGGCAAAGAGGTCCTTATGATACAGCTGTCTTCTTAAGTGATCTTATGGCTTTTATTATTATTATTTTTTTTTTGAGACGGAGTCTTGTTCTATCTCCCAGGCAGGAGTGCCGTGGCGTGATCTTGGCTCACTGTAACCTCTGCTTCCCAGGTTCAAGTGATTCTCCTGCCTTAGCCTTCCAAGTAGCTGGGATTACAGGCATGCACCACCACACCTGGCTAAAGTTTTGTATTTTTAGTAGAGACAGGGTTCACCATGTTGGCCAGGCTGGGCTCGAACTCCAGACCTCAAGTGATCTGCCTGCCTCGGCCTCCCAAAGTTCTTTATTCTTATTTTCTATATGAAGTAGTAATTAAAGATTTCTAGTAAGTAAATATCCAATAGGACAAACCAGTTTTAAACCAGGCTTTCAGGCTCGGCTTTGACTTTTTTTTAAATGCAAGATCTACGTTTTCTTGTGTTGTTTATTTTCTCTCCTGTGTAACTTGCATTAATATTCATTAAGTGGCTAGCTTACACAGTTAGAGCCAACAGCGAGCAAGCAAGGAAAAGAAAATTCCCTAAAGTTTATAGTCTTGTGTTGTGATTCGAGAATTACTGCCATAACTAACTTAATAACAAGCAGATTGAGGGAGAACTTGTCACCTAGAAGTGTTATTTTGACATTACATAATGACCTATCTGTAATAGCTCCTTTTAGTTTTAAAAATTCCTCATAGGCACTATTGATATGATAGGGCAATATAGAGATGTCAGTTTTATGGCCTCAAAGATCTATGCATTTTATAAATGTATTTCAGTTACATTTTGGCAGTAGAGAGAGCAGAAAGATAATGCTTCCATTAAAGTGATCAACTACGCATGTAGAAATTGGGCAGTAAGATGTGTGAAAAAAGCTTTTAGATGAAACCCATTTTCGTGTATAAATTGCCTGTGCTGCATATATAACTGTCTCATGATGCTTTGGGGTAATTCCGCAAGTATAGCACTGGAAATGGTGTTTGCCTGCTGATCTTAAAGAAGGAAGTGTATAAATTGTTTTATAATAAGTCTGCTGCTCAGCTGTTATATTACATTAATCTGTTCTTTTTTTCTCCTAGCTTTTCTTCTATTTTCTTAAACAATTGATTAAAATTTTAATTAACTTTTACTATTTCAGTTCTGTTCTATTTTTCATTCTTAAAAGTTATTATAAGTAAAAACAAAAACCCATTTTTGCTCTTCTACTACTTGGGACAATGTGTCGTCATATTTCAGAGCATTTGTATTTCAATAGTCACATTGACTAAAGATGAACTGTGAGAGAAGCTTAATTATTTTCCATATAGTTTTGGTATGATCTTATCTGACTACATTTTAAGTTTTATATCCTAGTAAAATCCATTTTAAATCATTTATTATTCAGTACTAAACCCTTTTATAAATTTCAAATTGATATTTTTAAAAAGCAGTACTTATTTCTTGATGCATTGTTTTTATTAACATGTCTCTTAAGTGCTTCTATATCACAAAAATATACAGGGTTTTTTTTCTTTCCTGTGCCTGTCAATTCTCATTACTTTCTTTTTGTTTTTTCCTCCTCACTTTTCACCTGCACTCCACAGATTTCCTCCTCTGATGCTCCTCTTCAGCCTTTGGTATCCTCTCCCTCTCTGCAAGCTGCTGTTGACAAAAATAAATTGGAGGTATGGTAATGTTTTAACCAGCTGAGTTATGTAGTGTTAAATGGTAAATTAACTTCCTTTTGCAGTGTGTCATTCGGAAACACTATAATAGTTGCTTATATTTTGAATGATCCCTAGAATTAAAACAGCAATTTCTAGAATTTTTTTATACCACAGCTATGATTAAGGAACTTTGAATCTATATTTAATTTCAGAATAACTGATTTATTGGTGCCATGGCTATATCTCAACAGTTAAGAAGCAGTTAGTTTTTTGTTGTTGTGCCCATTACTATCTTATACTTACAGGAACTTTTAAAAAACAAAAACAAAAACAAAACTTTTCTTTCTATAATTCTGTTGTTAAAAGCACTTAAACAAAGTTAATGCCAAGTTTCTTTTTTAAGCAATAGTAAACACCATATAGATAAAACGTGGGTATTATGGGATCATGAGTTCAGAATCATCAATGATAACTGTTAGAATGCATTTTGGGTGGAAGTGGTTGGGGTGCATATACTACCACTGTGTATTTTTAAAGTCATCCCTACAAATATTTGAGAGTTTTAATTTCTTTTGACTCTTTACCTATTTTTTTTTTGTTACATTGGCCTTAATAAATTAGTTCCAGGCATTCTTTCAACTATCATTTCTTCCCGTAGACATGGGATAAATGATAAATGGTTGGCTAGATGTGTGGTATACAAAGACAAGATATAGCCCCTGCCCTCCAGGAGCTTACAGTCTAAGGCAAGAAAACAGATAACTATATAGCAGTTTATAATATAATATATTATGGACTGTGATTGAAGTATGCTTACTGTACTGCAGTTAATACAGGAGGCATCATTTTGATGCATCTTATGCTCTGAATAAGCATTAGACACAAGGAAGGATTAGGAAGAATTCCAAATAGGGAAACTAGCCTGTGAAAAAACATATGGGCAAAGTAGAGTGTTTGGGGAGTTGCAAGCAGAATGGCATAACTGAAATATGAGTAGAACGGCCAGGTTTCTCTGTTTCTCATGAAGGAGCCTTCTCGTGAGCCCACTGAAGGAGTTTGATTCTGAAGGCTTGGGCACTTTTACTGACGAGTTTTAAGCGTTGGGGGGCGGGTGTGACAGGATCAGATTTTCATGTTGTAACACTACAGGCTCCATGGGGAATGAATTTTGTGGTGATGGGTGAGGAAAAGAGTGAACCTATTATTCTAATCCAGGTGTAAAATGAGAGGGACATGCTCCAAAGTAGTAACAGGGAATGTAAAAGAGAATGTAATTTTTAAAATTTGTTTTATTTTTTTGAGATGGAGTCTTGCTCTGTTGCCAGGCTGAACTGCAGTGGTGGGATCTGGGCTCACTGCAACCTCCATCTCCAGGTTCCAGTGGTTCTCCTGCCTCAACCTCGTGAGTAGCTGGGACTACAGGTGCGCACCACCACGCCCAGCTAATTTTTGTATTTTTAGTAGAGACGGGATTTTGCCATGTTGGCCAGGATGGTCTCTATCTCTTGGCCTTGTAATCTGCCCACCTCGGACTCCCAAAGTGCTGGGATTACAGGTGTAAGCCACCGCGCCTGGCCAAGAGAGGTCTTAAGAAGGTACAGTCCATGGGGTTTGGTAATTGATGTCCCGTGGAGGTGCTTTGGGAAGGCTTGTGACTTCCAGCTTCTATCTTGAGCATCTTAGTAGATGATGGTGCCAATTAGTGAGATAAGGATACAAGCTGAAAAGAAGGAACAGGTTTGAGCAGAAAAGGAAAGAGGTGAATTAAAAGTTGGATGTGTTAAGTATGAGGTCACTGTGGAACATTGAGGTTATTTAGTAGGTGGTTGGATATACAGGTCTAGTCCCAGGGAAGAGAAAAGGGGAGGCGAGTAGTAAGAGAGAGAGCGTGCTTAAAAATGTGTGAAACTATGTCATTTATTTATTTATTTGTTTATTTGAGACGGAGTTTCGCTCTTGCCCAGTTTGGAGTACAGTGGCGCGATCTCGGCTTATTGCAGCCTCCCACTGCAACCTCCGCCTCCTGGGTTCAAGTGACTCTCCTGCCTCAGCCTCCCGAATAGCTGGGATTACAGGCATGTGCCACCACACATGACTAATTATGTAATTTTAGTAGAGATAGGGTTTCTCCATGTTGGTCAAGCTGGTCCCGAACTCCCAACCTCAAGTGATCCACCCACCTCAGCCTCCCAAAGTGCTGGGATTATAGGGGTGAGCCACCGCACCTAGCCCTATGTCTTTATTTAAATAACTCAAGTATAGTTTGATTATAATGAACCCAGCATGTACTTACCTCCATCTTATTGAACTTGAATGTTTAACCAGTTTTCTTGCACAGGAAGTCAGCTGTTTCACTATGTCACTTGTGCATTTAACCACCAGGTTTCAAGAACTACTATTTTAAAATACAAAACACTGCAGTATTTTATTCTTGCTGAGAAAATAGTTTAAAACAAATTAGGTTTTCACAGTACTCTTAGATCTTTTAGCAGCTTTTGATTCTATGGATGGGAGTCATCTGTGGGTCAAACTGCATGATGAGTTTAGAGCCCATGCTGTTAATATTACTTCAGAGCCTGTCTCCTAATACCACTGCCAGAATCAGAGTAGGTGACAGCTGTATTTTTATTATTTTTATTATACTTTAAGGTCTAGGATACATGTGCACAACATGCAGGTTTGATACATAGGTATACATGTGCCATATTGGTTTGCTGCACCCATCAACTCGTCATTTACATTAGGTATTTCTCTTAATGCTATCCCTCTCCCAACCCCCCAATCCCCGACAGACCCAGCGTGTGATGTTCCTTGCCCTGTGTCCAAGTGATCTCATTATTCAATTCCCACCTATGAGTGAGAACATGTGGTGTTTGGTTTTCTGTCCTTGTGATAGTTTGCTGAGGATGATGGTTTCTAGCTTCATCCATGTCCCTACAAAGGCCATGAACTCATCCTTTTTTATGGCTGTGTAGTATTCCATGGTGTATATGTGCCACATTTTCTTAATCCAGTCTATGATTGATGGACATTTGGATTGGTTCCAAGTCTGTGCTATTGTGAATAGTGCCGCAGTAAACATACGTGTGCATGTGTCTTGACAGCTGTATTTTTACAGCTGAATTCCAGTGTTAAAGAGTATCAAGTCATGCTCTCCCTCTAGTAAATGTAGCTAGCAAATTTGATTTGTTTTTAGTGATTTCATATGTGCCCACCAATTGTGGTGATTAGGAAATCAAACTTCTACTCATGACACAATGGCCTTCTTGAGAAATAACTGTCTTTACCTGTGCTGGCTGCTCTAACAATATACCATAGATTGAGTAGCTTATAAACAACAAAAATTTACTTTTCACAGTTCCGGAGGCTGGAAAGACTCATGAAGGGTCCACTTTCTAGTTCTTAAAACGGTGCATCTTTGTGCCCTCATATAGTGGGAAAGGGCTGGAAATCTCTCTCGGGCCTTTTTGATAAGGGTGTGAATCCTATTCATGAAGGTTTCATCCTCATGACTTAATCACTTCCCAAAGCCCCACCTCCTAATAATATCACTTTGGGGATTAGATTTTAACATGTGAATTTTGGGATGGACACAAACATTCAAACCATAGCAATGACTAATAGCTCTGAGAGGTTCAGAAGCAACTCATTCTCAACATATTTTTCTTTTCTTTTTTTTTTTTTGAGGCAGAGTTTGCTCCTGTCACCCAGGCTGGAGTGCAGTGGTATAGTCTCAGCTCACTGCAACCTCTGTCTCCTAGGTTCAAGTGATTCTTCTGCCTCAGCCTCCCAAGTAGCCGGGATTACAGGTGCCTGCCACCATGCCCAGCTAGTTTTTGTATTTTTAGTAGAGACAGGGTTTCATCATGTTGATCAGGCTAGTCTCGAACTTCTGATCTCAGGTGATCCGACTGCCTCGGCCTCCTGAAGTGCTGGGATTACAAGCATGAGTCACCATGCCCGGCCTCTTTCTCAACATATTATTGAAACTGTTCTATCACATTGCTTTCTGCACCATAGTTTACTAAGAATATATAGAAAATATTTTATATATAAAATTTTTCACATCCTATTCTTTACTTATAAAATGGGGATAATATTTCTAACTTCATAAAGTTGTTGTGAGGATTAAAAGAGCCACAACAGTGCCTGCCACGTAGTAAGGGTTCAGAAAGTATTAGCTGTTACTGTAAGGAATAATAACAGCAATAATAAATAGCAAAGCTCCACTGGACCACAGTGAGTAGTGAGACTTCAAAGTTTGGGCTCCATAGTCCCTCAGTCCTACCACTAGCTTTGATTAACTGTGTTGCTTTGGGCATTACTTCTTTTTTGTTTCTTCATTTGTAAGATGACAGTAGATAAAGTTTTTATTGCAGAAAATTGTTGCAAAGATTACATTAGACAGTAAGGTACTTATCAACTGGCCCATGAGAAGCTGGGCACGGTGGCTCACGCTTGTAATCCCGGCACTTTGGGAGGCTGAGGCAGGCAGATCATGAGGTCAGGAGATGGAGACTATCCTGGCTAACACGGTGAAACCCCATCTCTACTAAAAATACAAAAAATTAGCCGGGTGTGGTGGCGGGTGCCTGTAGTCCCAGGTCCGGGAGGCTGAGGCAGGAGAATGGTGTGAACTTGGGAGGCGGAGCTTGCAGTGAGCCGAGATCGTGCCACTACACTCCAGCCTGGGTGACAGAGTGAGACTCCGTCTCAAAAAAAAAAAAAAAAAAAAAGTGATAGTTGTGTTTTGGAAATGAAGGTTTTGATTTGGGAAATGGTTGAGTTAGCAATAGGTAGTTATCTTTAAACGGTTAGATCTTCCTTATTTCCAGTGTAAAGCCCAGGCACTTGAGTAGATATGAAGATCTTTTTTGAGAATTATCCCAACTTCCTAGATGGTCTCTTCTGTGCTAGACTATGTTAATATCCTTAATGTTCAAGGGAAAATGTCACTTTTGACATATGCTCTTCTGGTAACTAAAGCATATAGATTCTTCAGGTTTTAGCACAAGTTCAACTTTATGTTGACTTTTATCCTGTTCCTGAAAAACATTATTGAAACATAATTTTAAATAATCCTAGTCTAAAGGAGACTGAGATATAAACTGTCCAGATTCTGGAAATTCTATCCATGTCTTCTCCTTTTGTTGCAAAGCAATATACCAATAGTTTGTTAGTTTTGTCCTCTACTTAAATGCTTTCACTAATTGGTGAATTACTATTACAACACTCATTGCCTTTTATTAATGGGTAATAAAACAAAAGGTTGAAAAGAGAAATGCATTAGAATTTCCCTGTTCTTAAAATTGCAGTTGAAGACGTTGCTTATTCATGACCCAAATATAAAGATCTTTGCTATGAATTTCTTTTAAAATTTTTAACTAAGATGAAAGTTTTTCCTTTCCTCTTTTTAAAATCACACAACAAACACTAAAATTTTAATGTGCTATATTTGTGTAGTGCTTTATAGTTTGCAAAGTTGCTTTCTAGGTTCTTAGTGCCTTTCATTTTTTCTTTTTAGTGCTGGAATGCACATTAAATATATATCTAGTTTAATACTTACAAGACTATCACTGTGTAATGTATATTGAAACTCAACATTATTACCACTTTGAAAGCTCCCATGTGACTGTTCCTAAATACCCTCATCCCTTCTCCTTAAAGGTAATTAACATCCTGATTTTTATCATCATCGTCTTTATTTTTTGCTTTTTGAAATAGTTTTATACTAGTGTGTACCCTCTCCAACATCATACTTTTGCCTGTTTTTGAACTTTATATGAATGGTTGCAAAGCACTTTCAACTTTTATTATTTCTCTCACATTATGGCCTAGGAGTTGCCAATATTATCTTTCCTGATTGACAAACGGCGGATTTAGTCTGACAGAGGTTGCATCAGACACCATTTTAAAGGCATAGGTACAAATGCAGCCTTTAGGTATTTTGAGTAAGTTCTGCATGTTTATCATGCTGCCTTCCCTAGGTTCATCAGTTTGTCTTTTCTTTTTTTGCTGTCAGGAGACTAAGGGCAAGATTAGTGTTTAGTTGCAGTAGACTTTCAGTTCTCAGTTTCTAGTCATCTCTTTCCTCTGAATGCCTTATGAATGCTCTTTGTTTAACCTCTTTTCATTTTCCTCTTTTGGCTCTTAAGATTTATTGTTGATACTTTTAATCCTTAAGTTTTTAACATTATATCTAATCCTTATTGGAAATGCAAATTGTGACTGTCATAATGCCATTTATACTTTACCTCTACTGCCTTACACTAGTCAGTTGGCTGTGGTCCCCAAGCACTATCTTGAACATTCTTTTTCTCATGAGAAAATCAGTGTATTTGCCCCTTTTTTTAAAGCAAAATCTGTGATGATAGACTGAAGTATCGGGGGAACCCACCCCAATATTTCAACGTAGGTTCTTTCTTTTTTTCCCTAAGTGTCAGCCGGCCTGAGAAATAGAAAGAGTACAAAGAGAGGAATTTTACAGCTGGGCTGCCGGGGTGACATCATACATCATGGTAGGACAGTGATGCCCACCTGAGCCGCAAAACCAGCATGTTTTTATTAAGGACTTCAGAAGGGGAGGGGGTGTACAAACAGGGAGTAGGTCGCAAAGATCACATGCTTCCAAGGACAAAAAGGAGAACAAAGATCACATGCTTCTGAGGCCAATAAAGATCACAAGGCAAAGGTCAAAATCAAAAACTCCTGATAAGGGTCTATGTTCAGCTATGCACATATTGTCTTGATAAACATCTTAAACAACAGAAAACAAGGTTTGAGAGCAGAGAACCAGTCTGACCTCAAATTTATCAGAGAGTGGTTTTTTCCCCACCCTAATAAGCCTGAGGGTACTGCGGGAGACCAGGGCATATTTCAGTCCTTATCTCAACCGCATAAGACAGACACTCCTAGAGGGGCTGTTTATAGACCTCCCCCCAAGAATGCAATTCTCTTCCTAGAGTATTAATATCAATATTCCTTGCTAGGAAAAGAATTTAGTGATCTCTTCCCTGCTTGCACGTCTGTTTATAGGCTCTCTGCAAGAAGAAAATTATGACTTTTTTTGCCCAACCCGACAGGCGGTCAGACCTTATGGTTGTCTTTCCTTGTTCCCTAAAATCGCTGTTATTCTCTTCTTTTTCAAGGTGCACTGATTTCATATTGTTCAAACACACAAGTTTTACAATCAATTTGTACAGTTAACGCAGTCATCACAGTGGACCTGAGGTGACGTATATCCTCAGCTTACGAAGATAACAGGATTAAGAGATTAAAGTAAGACAGGTGTAAGAAATTATAAGAGTATTATTAGGGAGGTGATAAATGTCCATGAAATCTTCACAATTTATGTTCCTCTGCCATGGCTCCAGCTTGTCCCTCCGTTCGGGGTCCCTGACTTCCTGTAACACTGAAGATATTTTGTGATTAAAAAAAGCAGATTTTTAGTCTTCCTCTTATATTTACCTATTATAATTTATCTTTGTATAATAAAGAAGTCTGTCCTATCACTTAGTTTTTTTTTTCTCATTCATAATTCAACTGCGTGATTGCTGTTAGGAAGTCGAACCTAATAGAAGGATATAGTGAGAATTTATTGAATGGAGAGCTCATTCATTTAAAACAAACACAAAACAAACCCTAATATATCAAAGAAGTTCTAAATTGTCTTAACTCTGTGCCTCTGTCTTAATTTTTTCACAGATATTCTTTGCTGTCATCAGCATATAACCTCAATGAGAATATGAATTTGCTATGTTTACTATTATATTTCAGTAGCACATAGATATTGTAATTACTGAATATTTCTACCTTTTTTTAAATGACTCAAACTAATAAAAATGAATCAAAAGTTGCCATTTTTTAAAAAAGTAAACTTATCAAAACTTTGGGCTGTGTTTTAGAAAGAAAAGGAAAAAAAAAAGGAAGAGAAAAAGAGAGAAAAGGAGCCAGAAAAGCCGGCAAAACCACTTACAACTGAAAAGGTAAAATTCTTTTTTAAACTATTTTATTTTATTATTTTATTTTTTTTTAATTATACTTTAAGTTCTAGGGTACACGTGCACAACGTGCAGGTTTGTTACATATGTATACATGTGCCATGTTGGTGTGCTGCACCCATTAACTTGTCATTTATATTAGGTATATCTCCCAATGCTATCCCTCCCCGCTTCCCCCACCTCACAACAGGCCCCGGTGTGTGATGTTCCCCTTTCTGTGTCCCAGTGTTCTCATTGTTTAATTCCCACCTATGAGTGAGAACATGCAGTGTTTAGTTTTCTGTTCTTGCGATAGTTTGCTGAGAATGATGGTTTCCAGCTTCATCCTTGTCCCT